TCAAAATTGTTTTTGCGTACAAAACAGAAATATTTTTACCAAGATTTATGATTTTGTGTCAAAATCTCTAGAGTTTGATTGACGTTTGAGATCTACAACAAAATATAGCCTACTGGAAGCATTTTCTCTTCCTTTTAAATAGGGCTGCACGATAAATCGCATGCGATATTTAACGCGCATCTTGTCAGTAAAGCCATTCTGTAATCAGCGGTATATCTCCATCACCTGTGGGCTTTCACATGGAGCAGCATTAACTACACAGAGCCGTTGTTCACTGACAAGCTGCGCAAAACCACGATCATATTTTGCGCATGTTTTGCGCAGCTTGTCAGTGAACAACGGCTCTGTGTAGTTAATGCTGCTCCATGTGAAAGCCCGCAGGTGATGGAGATTTACCGCTGATTACAGAACCGGCTTTACTGACGAGATGCGCGTTAAATATTGCATGTGATTTATCATGCAGCCCTACTTTTAAAAGCAGAGAAGTCTATTTACTTTTAGATTTTCTTCAGAATAAAGGTTCCAATGGGTTTTTTTTTCACTGTGATGCCATAGAAACCCCATTTTGGGTTGTCAAAAGTACCTTTTTGTGAACAGTTCTTAAAATAACCATTTTCCACCATAATAAAGAATATGGAATGTAAAGATCCCATGGATATTAAAGGTTCTTAATGGAACCATCAATTCCAATAAAGAACATTTCTTTTTAAGAGTGTGTACATAATTTTATGGTTATTTGCATTTTATTAATTGAATTTAGCATTGTTTTGCCCTGCCACCCTTATCAGAACAGTCACAGTTGAGAATGTTTTACAATTAGGGTTGCAAATGGGTGATAAAAATTATCTAAACTGTCCAGAATTTTGGGAAACTTTCCAGGATTTTTGGGAAACTGTAGGAAAATATTGGAAACTTTTAGAGAGTTTCTTGAAATTTACCAGAAATGTTCCGGCCCTTAGCAACTCTAGTTACAATACACTACTCTGTGCAACTTTGTATAATACAGTATTGTTCTGAGGAGTCCTTTGAGTCTTATATTTCAGCTTGTTTCCAAAATTTAACTGGAACATTTGAAGCTATTGAATCTTTCATTTCATAAATGTTTTTTTTATTTTTTATTATTATTGATGAACATGCAGTTCTTGAAATATCTGGAATCACAAAATGGATTGTGGTTAATTCATATATCAGTACTCTCAGTTTCTGTTAATAAAAATGTTTGAAAACGAACTTTGTCTTAATAACATAATTTAACAGCAGAGATACAAGTTTATATGGTGGGGCCTTTGAGTATTGTGTTAGACAATAGCAGTCCTTTAACTAAAAAAGTTGGGAATTACATACTCCCATTTAAGTGAAACAGACTCCTACAGATAAAAGCAATACAACAAGACACACAAATGATACAGGTGCTGGAGTTTTGTTTACATACCGAGGAATATGTTTGAGATTAGATTGTTCAGAGCAAAATCTCTCAGCCTCTCTCCTTCACTTAAACGTGAGATTATTTTCAGAAATGGAATTCCAACCCTTGTCATGATAAAACAACGCAGTTTTGCGATGGAGATTTGTTCAGCCAGACGGCTCCATGATGGGTGTGCTGGAGTGTGATAATTCAAGAGCTGCAGGGTAGGACTGTGATTTATGGGATATCCTTTTTGTCTTACAAAACGTGTTCCTTCGAAAGCCCACCCCCAACATTTCATATGAGTCATTTCCCTAATTGATAGTTGCCTGGAAACTCTATGAGAGGTGCTGAAAAAAGACTGATAATGTACGTGAGATAGTGTTTCAGTGTGTGTGTGTGTGTTGATCAAGACCAGAAAAACTAAACGGTTAAATTTTCATTGACTTGTTTAAGACTATTGATTTTGAACTGATATGGTTGTACACTGTGCTTGTGAGGTCACTCATAATGAAGTATGGATCAACAATTATGTTTTAATACAATGCAGTATTTACTGTACAGATCTCAGAGGTGTGATGTCATCGGGCCTAGTGCGTTTCAGATGATGCAAATGTGCAGCACTCAACCGGATTATTATAGGCTCTATAAGAGAGCTGTCTCAGTCCCCATCATAAAAGCTATTGATTACCCCCTACTTACATTCACATGCTTGTGCTCAGCCATTGAGACTTTAGCATCAATTTCTCCAAGTCAGTACTTTCAGTGCTGGTCATTTGAGGTCTCTCTGAGGTCCTGTGGATGCCAGCTCAAGTTTCTAAGTTCAGGAGACTTTTTGGTGCTCCAGATAAATGGAAAATTGAAAGGTGGGCAGTAAATATGGATATAATTAAAACCGGCCTTGGTGTATGATTGATCTAAACCAGTTTAAGGCAGTTGCTGGCTTTTGGAACATCGTAGCTGGTTTCTAACTTGTTAAAATATTTTTACCACAAAGACAATCAAGCTGCATCTTGCCTTCATGTGGTCAAAAAGCATGGAAGAAAATATATAGCTTGCTTTTTTCAAATGAAAACCCACACATTTTATGAAGAAATAAATGTCATTACACTTAAACCTATTCTAATACATCATTGTATTTAGTTAATTTTGTTAGTTTTATTGTCTTTCACTTTCATGCAACATAGAATATATGTAGTACGCTTCCATTCAAAAGTTTTGGGTTGGTAAAATATTTTAATGTTTTTGAAATAACTCTCTTTTGCTCACCTGCATTTATTTAATCAAAAATACAGTAAAAACAATAATATTGTCAAATGTTATTACATTTTAAAATAACTGTTTTCTATTTTATTATATTTTAAAATGTATTTTGTTCTTGTGATACAAAGCCTAATTTTCAGCATCATTACTCCAGGCTTCAGTGTCACATGATCCTTCAGAAATCATTCTAATATGCTGATTTGCTCCTCAAAAATCGTTTTGATTATTATCATTGTTGTAAACAGTTTACTTGCTTTAATAGTTTACTTACAGCATATCATTTCTGTGGAAATTTTGATTTTTTTGTTCAGGATTCTTTGATAGAAAGTCCAGAAGGACAGCATTTATTTGAAGTAGAACAAATCTTTGTAACATTATAAATGTCTTTACTGTCACTTTTGATCAATGTAATGTGTCCTTGTTGAATAAAAGCAATAGTTTCTTTTAAAAAATCAGAAGATGTTGGTTGAGTCATATTCTGATAGTGCCACAGTGTGTACAATGTTGTCTCATATAAATCTGGATTGGAAGGAGTCTTATAAAGAGATGGGAAGTAACGAAGTACAAATACTTCATTACTGTACTTAAGTAGATTTTTCTGGTATCTTTTCACTAGATACTAGATACTACTTTTTACTTTCACTCCTTACATTTTTTACACAAATATCTGTACTTTCTACTTCTTATATTTTCAAACCAGGCTCGTTATTTTAGTTCATTATTTTTTTCAACCTAATGTAATACAGAAAACACAACCACCCACTGGTCTATTATTTCCTGGCTATCAGGCACCACAGACATAGCTAGTCTATGAAGCTTCCACAGAGCAAGGGAGCAAGAAGAATGGCTAACGTTATGGATGAGACAGAGGAAGTTATCGATAGCGAGAAATTAGACATTTGCAGGACTGTTCAGGGCAAAATATGTTGAAAAAAATCAGTCTGTTCGATGAATACATTTACCACAGTAGCATGTGTGCAATAGTTCTGCATGTGTGTGAGCCTGTTTACAAATCTGTCCTCAGACAAAGAGAACATTTAATGATTATGTATTTAGTCCAAATTCACTTAATAACATCAGTTGAGTGTTTGAAATAACTTCCTTTTGTGATCTGACATTGTGTCATATCACAGAATGAGGCAGAAATCATGCTATTTTATAGTAGCTATTCTATACAAGTGATAGAAGGCTAAGTCGATTAACACTGCATTATAAATATACATTATTTTTATAATAATACCTGAGATGACTTGAAGAACACAGATAAACCATTATTGTCGCAATTGTATGTTTATTGTATTGATGTTTCATCAGGTAAAACGTCTCTATCTGCATTTTATTCAGCTACAGCGACAGCTGGATGTCTTTGTCCATATAAGGGATTTCCTGGAGCGTCAGAAGTTAGATTACTTCTGTGAGTCTCACTTGTGGAGTTTCTGCCCTCCGGCTACCAGTATGAATGAAACAGACATTACATTACGTGTGTACTTACTCACAACACCCTATTTTTGGGTAAAAAAAAAAAGCAAATAGGAAAAATAACACTTTTCTCTAAAAGATATTGGAAGTAAACATCCATATCCAAACATTTTTCTCCAGTGTAAAGAAGTGTACAGGAATGTTTTTTTTTATTATTATTTCAGCAGATGCATTCCTTGACAAAAATGAAGAAATTACAGACAGATTTTTCATCATAATATTTTATAATAAAACCTTAGACATTTCTAATGATTTATAGTTATAGGCCCCCTGCATGATATCAGGGGGTAAACAAGTGTAAATTATGCTTGCACTCTAATTGTCTCTGTTTGCATTTCAGTAAAATTTACAGTATAACTCGCTTCAATTTGGCCATTTTTAAAGCATCATAATTTTGAGTTGTTTCCAAGGACAAAAGGCAGAATCACCCTACAATCTAGGATGTGGCCTATAGGTGATGGCAAATATTGTTTTTGTTGTCACCTTAACCTTTTCTCTGCTTGTGTTCTACATGGCGGTTGTTCAGCCTGGATAATTCATTAGCTAACAAAATTTGATTGTAATTTATTTTATATTAATATGCAGTGAAGTATAATTACCAGTGTGACACTAAAAGAGGTAGTAGTAATGGCTACTTTTTTACATGTCAGAGCCCATACTTCTTTACTTTAACTTGAGTAAAAAAAAAGTGTAGTCAGTACTTCAGCTTTTCAAACATGAGTATCTGTACAGTACTTCTACTTGAGTGAAGGATGTGTGTACTTTTGCCATCTTATATCACTAAAATGACACTCATTATCTTTAAAACGCACGTCAGTTAGCATAATATCTCAGTGTGTTTATTGTAAACAAGACAAGCCCAGTGAGAGGGCCTGGTTTATAGTGGCCAAGAACGTCCTGCCCGTGCCAGAGCCGCCCCTCCCTGCTCCCGCTACAAGCTGTTTGCAGGATGCAGGATCTGGAGGTATTCCCTCAGCACTCACACCAGCTCCAGAGCTGAAACACTACACCACACTGAAGAGGGCAGACACAGACAAGAGTGACTGGGGAAACACTTACGAAAGCGTTTTACTAAGCAAAATGAGCGAGTATTGTTTTTAGGTTACTACCGTTGGGTTTCTGAATCTTATTACTGATAAAGCAGAATGCTTATGTAATAATTTTAAATTCTCCACAGCAGTTTTAGTAGGTTATGAGTCACACAGGCCTCTGGCTATGGCCGCATTAAACTGCAAATACAGTGGTGCTATTACAATTTATTAGATGAGATTAGAGATCTGTAACTACGACTCTCGCGAAATGTATTTAATTGCCTCCTGGTTTGAACAAAAACATGTAGAGCAGAACATTCTCCTTGCTTATTTTAAATTTCAACCATTCCAATGGCTGTATCTGCTTAAATATGGAGGGGATTCATCGTGAATCCTTTAACGTAAGCTTTCAGGAGCCAGGGAGGGTGAGGATGAACATGAGAGCTGTCCAGTTTGTTTTATGTTGGTTCCCAAACTGTCCCCTAGACAGCACAGGCCCTCCCTATATGCTATGCAACCTACACAAATTGCAGATGCCCCCTGGTGGTTATTTATATATATATATATATATATATATATATAAAATGGCCTGTAAAAAATAACGTTTGAAAATTATCATAATTGTTTTATTTTACACTTCAAGTTACAATATTAAAATGTATGTCTTACATTCTTAACCTTTTAAACATTCATATCCTCTAGCTTTTATTTTGGCAAAATACTGATGATATGCTGTAAACTTCTGTAAACTATCCACAGAAATGCCTCGAATTTGATAATTGCACTAAGCTATATAGCGATTTCAGATATATTTTGATTAATTGTGCAGCCACGTTTATTTATTTTAATTTTACAGTTGATTTAATCATTAGCTTATCAACTCTCAGAGCCCCTGCAGTTGCCTCACAAACCCCCATTTGGGAAACCCTGATCTGGATCATGATATGAATGAAAAATTGTGTTAAAGATAACAGGTTTTCACCCTGTTTCTGTCAAGGCTGGTCTATTGTTATTGTGAGTAAACAGAACGAGCTCCATCCGGTCTCAGAGCTATGCCTCAGGACAGAAGTCATTCGGGGTCCAAGCTGAGGTCACCAGTGAGTGTAATAGATCCAGAATCAGTCAATACTCTGTGGTCACGGAATGGCTAGTTCCTACTAAAAAGCATCTTACTGAGATCACTTACATCTGCTTGCTGCACCCTGTAGCTTCTACAAAGGCTGATTTGCAGTCTTTTGAGGCAAAAAGAACATGTAATGCTCAAGTGCTAACTTATGTCTGTATATTCTGAGGTAGTCTTTCAATTTTCTTCAGTGTAGCAGGTACCTCAGCCCATGTTTTGACACTCTTGAGCACATGTAAGTGTCATTGCTTCATGAAAGAGCTTTTTTGATTTACACATTGATTTATTTTTGAAATCATTCCAAGATTTCCCCGTTAATGTGAGTAATCTTGTACTAAGCATGTAGCTAGTGTTTGCGTCAGATATTGACAGCATGTAAGGGCCAAATTATCCGGCTCTCATTGAGGACGAGGTGGAGGAATGGAAAAGGCCATCCTTTTCTCTCCCGCTTAGAGTGATTGAGGCGTTATTGATTTAATTTTCATCAGCTATGAAGGAGGCAGCCACACTTAAGGGTGATGGGTAATTTTTTGTGACATGTAATAAAAGCCTTGTGAGTCTCCAGCTGTCTGTCTCCAGGGGGCCCGAGACTGAAATCACAGTGGACCAACACAAAGTACAGGCAGATCAAACTGTGAATACGCTGTATGAGCGCTATCCCACTGCTACTGTGTTAGTCTGGTGTGCATTAACTCTCACATTAGTCACTGAACACTGGGAAACACCGGTTAAACGCTGGAATTGTCTAGAGTACATCTTTCACTCGTTACATTTACCTCACGGCTATCGTTTTATTTTCAGTCCCAAATAATGAGAGGGGTTTGAGCACTTCAGTGCTTCCATTAGCTGCAGAAAAAAATGCTTTTGCATTGATTTGAGGTTGACAGAACTGTTTGATGCAGGAAGAAATTATACATGATCCTTATGTTGAATTATAGGTTAAGTGTATGTATCATTACGAATTTAATTTCACTAGCTTTGCTAGTGAAACCCAGTATTTGGTCTTTTTGCAGTCAGCATTTGGTCTTTATGTAATCAATATTTGGTATAGACTGATCATTGTGCCCGTGTCATTTAACCCAAGTTTAACTAGTTTGAATTCCTATTTTATTTTAAGTCCAAAATGGATAGTGCAATATTTTTCTTTTTGTTCAGATATTTTTTGTGACTTTGGAGTAAATATTGCATAAAAATGCAGCCATAGACTGCAGTACAATCAAGCCAAAAGCAACTTAAGATGGTTGCTCTTTTTTGGAAATGGTGTTGGGTTGTAGCTGGTCCAAGCTGGATTAGGTGTTAACCATCAAGTGTGGACCTGGTTGACCTAGACTATTTTCATCATTCATGGGCTCTGCTTGAAAAAAACAGGTTATACCAACTTAATGTAGAAGTATTATGTTTTGAAATGTGGCTGGTGGTTAAAGATTATCTACCAGTTCTAACCAGCTTGATCAAATGTTCTACCAGCTCAACCACATCTCATCATCTGGTAGACCAGCTGGTCCATTTAATATGTGACCAAATGACAAACAATCATGCTACATTATAAGCCACCTATAAGCCAATTTTTACAGCATAGTATGTTAATTTAAATCATGTTTTCAATTGTAATTGTTTTCTTTTTGAACCCACATATGGTTTCATAACAGACATGACTTAATAAGTACTGACATCCGTTAGCACAATATATGTGGCTGAATGGTAGTGCTCATTTTACCTAGTGTCAGTTTTGAAATACCGATAACTACAACTGGAATATCTAGCTGATAACCGATAACGGATTTTAAAATCAGCAGTAGTATGAACGAAAAACTTTCCAGTTAATGTAAAATAGTGCTGAAAATTAACATTAATAAGGTAACCATGACAATGATTTGTAATTATCAAATAAAATTAAAGTAAAAAAAAGCCATGCTTCATCACTTCTGACTTACTGATGATGATGTTTGTAACGTAGTTTGTAGATCGGGAAGAAGGAGGCGGGAACCGGCGAACATTAAAAGATTTTAATAAAATAAACAAACACAAAACAAAAGTAAAGCGGCAGCCCCTCGCGGACGACTGCCACACACAAAATACAAAATAAACTCCAGGCCTGGTCCTCTCTCGTCTTTCACTGTCGTCCCTCCTCCTTTTTATCCTTCCGGAGGTCCTCCGTGAGACTCGAGACCGGTGAGTGGCGCAGGTGTCGCGCATTAGCAATTACTCCACCGGCCTCGCTCCGTTCCCACGGCTCCCGGCCCCGCCCCTCTCGTCACAATGTTATTTTTATTTTATTAAAAATATGGAATAAATACTGTGGTTAATGAATATGCAACATATAGTTAATATGGAATGTTCTTTAGCTAGATTTAATAAAGCTAAACCAAGAACGGTACAGGCCTGGCTAAGAGTTGTAAAATCTATTTGTGACCGGTTTACTGGATAGTAAGATATATCTCCATAGAACTGTGTACTTACTGTGGAGTACTTATATCTAGGGTATTACTATGTAAGTATCCATATCATTTGTAGGTAGTTTTGTTTGGTTCTGGTTTATTTTTGTGTTGTTATTTTGAAAATCTAATAAAAAGAAATTTAAAAAAATGAATAAACAAATGATGAAAAGGAGAGAGAAAAATGGCTAGAAAGAAAAATGTACTAAATTCAAAACGATAACAACTATCATTGCCGATTAATCGTTAAAACTGATATATCGGTTGAGCTCTAATCAGTTGACTTATTACATGGCTTTCTAGAATGTTTGGTTCTGATTGGTCAATCATGGCATTCTTTAGTCAGGTATGTTTGTATAATGACACTAACCTGTATAAAGCTGACCGCTGTCCCAGACAACCGATTTCCTGCATATCTTATATTAATTGTAATAATGTACAATTTATTTAGCCATAATGACCGGCTGAATTTACATTATCCCTTACATATCACTTGGCCACTATTCTTCTACCCTCACTTTAAGGGTTTCCTCTTTGTCTTTCATTCTCTCTCCTGCAACATACTGCGAGCAGCAGAACCTCTGCAGCCCCTCTCTTTAAAAATTCAGTCAACCGCTCCATTTTCACTCTTCTGTCTAGAGAGCTGTATTGTATTATATTAAATATTGAATTTTACAATCACACAGGCTGCATTTCAGCAAAAACAACAGGGTATTTTGAGGTCACAGAGTTTGATAGGGACGGCAGAGGAAGTGTTTCATATTGACCCGAGCTGATTACCCCACAGCGCGAGAGACGGAGACATAAGAACAGAGAAATGGGGATGTATGCAGAGCTGTGTGAGCAGCATCTCCAATCAGGCAGCTTAGGAAAAGGATGAAATGGGAAGGGTGGGGGAAGGAAAAATGGAGAGAGAGGGAATGTGTGTGTGTGTGTGTGTATTTGGAGGGGGGGATTTCTCAGTGGGAGAGAGAAAGTGGTGGAGAGAGTGCACAGAAGGAGGGGAGGGGTGTTCGTGTGTGTTCACTGGAGTGTGTGTGTGTATAGTGCTGCAGTAACGAGTGGAGAGGGGGGATGACTGCAGTTTCTCATGCTGATGGAAGAGCTCGAGCAGGAGACGTTTGCACGCCGCTGAAACGTTAACCCCTAAGTGCCTCGCTGGTGTATGGCCCAGACGCTCATTGAGGATTAGGACCGAGCAGATCACTGCAGTCAGGTGTGTAGCTTTTCAACATGTTTTTTCTCAAAGGTGCTGCAAAATTGGGAGGGGGATCCGGATATGGGAAGGTGGGATATGCAGCACTGGATGCTGGAAAGGCTGTCCAGGGCACTAGATGCTTATGACTTAATCTTACAGCGGAGAGGGAAGCCCATTCGAGAGTGGCCTGGCTGAATACTAGAGTACTGCAGTGTGATTCATACGCTTGTCAGATTTGGATAACTCTTGTTTGTGTTGAGTCTGAAGAAAACTGGTGTCTAAAGTGATGTTTAACTGATGTTTGATTGGGAATTGCTGCAGTGTCCTGAGCTCAGAGCATTCGTCCCAGTCGGCGTATCGGTTTTATCAGTTAGTTTAGTTGAACTTGCGTTACTCGCTGATCTCAGGTCAGCTTTCTGTCACACCTCACAGAGGTTGGAGTCAGGGACCCGTCACAGGAAGCTGGTCCCGGTAAGGTGTGCAAGGGCAAAATCAGCCACGAGCTGTCAGTGGGTGGGTGTTTACTCCGTCCGTGCATGGGTGCCGGTCGCTTCCTGGAGAGTTTCCAGAGCTCAGTCCCGCTGACAGCTCCCACGTTTTCCCCGGAGGGGCAATGGGAACGACACCCTCCTCCCCATCATCGAACAATATGCTGCGGCTTGCTGGTACAGCTGCCGTAAGAGAGGATCACAGAGAGAGACCACAGACAATGAAGTGCATTAAAACAGCTCTGCGGTACAGCAAAGAAAGGGGGAAACTGGATACCTGCTGTCTGCCTTCATTTCAATGCACTTTGTTGTAGATTTCAACCTTGTGTTGTGCGAAAAACACTTTAGGGAAAACTTGATAAACAATACCATTCCCAAACATTATTATAGTCTTCAGAAATTTCCACAGTGAACATTTATAACAATCCATCAGTTGTTTTCCATTAAGTACTCTGAGATCGGGTTTGGTGTGTCCTGTCACAGTGGTTGCTGTATATGTGTTGTGTTTCTGCTAGATGCTTGATTTAGTGCTTATATTGGATGCTGGAAGTGTCAATTGGACACGCTGGAATTATAAGGGAACTTCCTTAGATGCTTGGCAGCTCTCTTTCTCGCTCTCTTTCTCGCTCTCTCTCTGGCAAGTGTTTTTTTCTCGCTCTCTTGGGATTCTCCTGCAGAGGACTGGGGATCACAAGGAAGGGACGTTCTCAAGGACAAATGCTGTGTCATCAAGGCTTTAGACCTGAACTGGAGTACAGTATAATGTGACATTGAGATCAGATTTATAAGGGGAAATTTGAAAATGTGGTAAAGATATTTGTGCTTTATAGCTTGTCTGATCTCTCAGTTTCAGATGTTGAAGCTGTTGGGTTGTTTTTGCTCTATTGTGTATGTTCATATGTGTTTGAGACATTTAATATGAAGAATTGGGGTTTTAACTCCATACCCACCATCTAAGACATCTACATGACCAATTACCTGATGGTGCAGGACATCTAGAGGAACATCAGACTTTGTTTCACTTATAGATGTCTCTCCCAAATTCCTTAGGAGCAATAAGATGGCATTAAATGATCATTATTGAGGTTTGGTTAGACTAGAGATATACATTTAATGTGAATAGAATAGCTTAGAAAATTTGGTCTTTGATGAATTTGAAGAGAAATATTTGAGTTCATATTGAGATTTGAGAATTTTGATAGCAGATATTCTTGAGATCTGAAACTGCCGGAAGAGACGTGTGAAAACTATTGTGAGGTCCTTTTCTCGATTTTAATCTCCATTCATTCTCCATCTAATCTTATTGTGTGTTAAAAAGATATATCTTATTCGTGATTTTGTTTTCCTAAAGGAAGGGATTTTGGCCAAGTGTTTATCCAATTAGAGAAAATGTTGCATCTCAAATTAAATTGTTGGGGGTTTTAGATGTAAAAAGATCAACACAGGAAAAGTAATCTTTCCCTTTTCATTTATATTTTATGATTTCTGTCAGCTGCCCAGTTATTGTCAACTAATGTATTTAAAACAATCTGTTTCATAATTTAAAATAAATAAATAATTATGGTGAAAACAGTATCTGCCCTGTAAGCAGCCAACCAATAATAAATTTGAGAGAAACCATAAAACAGCTAGTGTCATTTATCACCGTGGACACTCATTCCCATCTGGTCTTGCATCACAGTTTTGCACTATGAATAATCTTTGATAAGACACAAGTGATGGTTAGTACTACAATGGATCATAGTTTTTATTGGCAGGAGAACATTATTTAAAATCTGCCCTATAGGATTGTGTTAGAGTAGTCAATACAAACAAAAAAAAGTACAATATCATTGTGGAATTCAGTCTGTGTACGTTGCATTCATTCGTTTTTTTATTTAAAATTGAAAACAGAAACATGAGAAAAAGGCACCATTTTTGATTTTCGTTTTTTCAACAAAAAAAAACGCCTTGATTTTCCGTTTTTACATTCAGGGGTAGAAATTGAATAAACAGTTTGAATATTCGATTTCCACGTGTGGGCGGAAATGAAACGCCCCTTTCCACTGATTAGTCAAGCAAGCATCAAATGGTGCCGTCATCATGTCATCTTCAGTTTTGTGCAACAGAATAAGAGTCCTCCGCTGTTAAAGCATTTATTGCAACTCCTGCGTTCATCTCCCTCTCATCAAACAACCATACTAACAAATGGCTTGACACAAACCATACTGGGGCAGTGCCTAGACGGGGCTTACTTCTGTGTAGGCATAGATTCTATATGGCAAATATTAGGTGCTTATTGCAGAAATATGTATGTAGCCTACCTCAGATCTGCAGCCACATTACCCTTTTAGTCTATTTCTTTGGCGGACCGCACATTTTATTTAGCTGTCCAGTTATCAAAATCTGTGTGGCAAAGCTGCGTGACATTTGCTGTGTTAATGCATTTACTGCCGTGCCGGTACGTGCACCAAAGAAATAGACTAAAAGGGTAATGTGGCTGCAGATCCGAGGTACATACATATTTATGCAATAAGCACCTAATACTTGCCATAGAGAAGCTATGCCTACATAGAAATAAACCCTGTCCATTTGTTAAGATTATCTTTATAGTTATCGTTCTTGGTGTGAACGGGGCTTTAGTCTGGTTGTTTGATGAGACAGAGACGAAATGCAGGAGTTACAATAAACACTGTAACCGCGGAGGACTCTTATTCTGTTGCACAGAACTGAAGACGACATGTTTCATTTTTGATTGACCAATCAGTGAAAGGGGCGTTTAATTCCCTCCCACACGTGGAAATCGAACATTCAAACTGTTTATCCATTTTCTACCCCTGAATGTAAAAACGAAAAATTAAGGTGAATTCTTGTCTTTTCATGTTTAAAAAAAAAACGAAAAATTAAAATGGTGCCGTTTTCTCATGTTTCTGTTTTCGATATTAAATCAAAAAACGAATGAACACGGACCGAATTCCCTTCTTTATGAGCATAACTGCCTCTTTCTTTCAGGATATAGCTCATTAGTTTGGAAACCATCACTGTAGTGACAAACTCCATCAAGAAATGAGTGTTCTCACAAAGTTCACAAAAAAAAAATCGACAAAAAAGATTTTGAATGCCCAAGCTGCTCTTTCCATTAGATTGTGACCAGATGTTGTGAAGTTGCATAAAGGACAAAAACTACCATAAAATTAAAATAAAGCAGTCATGCACTACATTACAAGTCTTCAGAAACCGGAAAATTAGCTTACAAGAAGAACAAACCATAATTCATTGAACATCTTGACATTTATCAGACCTGCTGAAAAGACAATCAAATGTTGTGTTTTGCATGCTGGCATCTCGACCAGGCTTAGTTCACCCAAAAATCCACTCACCCTCGTGTTGTTCCAAACCTGTATGACTTTCTGCTTGCTGCAGAACACAGAAGAAGAGATTTTAAAGAGTCTTTCAGCTGTTTTTGTCCATACAATACTGGTCAATGGGATCCAAAAGTTCCAAGCTCCAAAAAGGACATAAGAGACTTGTCTATTGGTTTAATCAGTGGTTACATAGAAGTATTCTGAGGCAATATGATCACTAAATGAATAGAAAAATGTGACATCATAACATTAAGTCACGTGACACACAAGAACCAATGAGCTAAACTTTTCTGGACCCCATTTATTGTACAAACACAAACAGCTGCAAAATTCTTCCAAAGAATCTTACCTGTGTTCCACAGAAGAAAAAAAAATCAATTTGTAATGACATAAGGGTGAGTAAATGATAACAGAATATTCGTTTTTAATCCGCTTCAAATCAAAATTTACATTTACACATTTGGCAAACACTTTATGCAAAGCATTTCTGTGTACACGTAACCTGTGAATCGAACCCATGGCCTTGCTGTTGGTAAAACCATACTCTACTAGTAATTAGTCCAGCACCAAACCAGAAAAACCAGCATCAGGTCAGGTGGATCCTTCGCTCATACTCAGAAGTGGTATCTCAGATGTGGCCATACTGTATCTGCATTAGGGATGTCCATCCACGACAAGAGGAAGCCAGAGTGAAACTAACATTGTAGCTCTGAAAAGAGTGTGTGGTTGTTCGCCTGTTCATCATGGTGCAGTGAAGTCTTATTACCCTCCGTAAAAACAGCTGCTTAATTGAAGAGCCATAGGGGCGACAATAAACTGAAAGATACAATTCGTAATGAATGAGGAAGAGCAGCTTTACACTGAGGAAAAAGCACTGAGGCTGAAACAAGCCTGTGAAACAACATGTTTAAAGAGTCCACCCAAGGTGATTTGTTGTAATGATACACTGATTTGAATTCGTCATTTGCGACATATTCAGTTGTAATCTACAAATCTGAGAGCTGATTTAGTATGATGTGAGCAGTTGCTCAAGAGTCTTTGAATAGTTTCCACCCTCGCATTTGTTTGTGCGTCCAGCTCGGCCCAAGGGCCACAAAAACCCTCATTAAGTGACAAACGGAGCGGTCTGGATCCGCTGGGATGTGCGGGGAACACTCATTGTCATCTCACTGAGCTCAATCAGATGGCTTTCCAGTGGAAATGTTCAACCACCAGTAATGCAATGCCCGGAGACAAGTTTCTGATATGGGTGTACATTTGAGCAGGAATGGTAGGGACATCCCTTACCATACAGACTACTGAAACTAATATTTT